ATGAGACAAAAGTACCATGAGCTTTTAAGCTCTGGTTGAGGGGCCGAAGCACAAAAAGATATGGCAAGGCAGAGATGTTGTGAGTATCCAAGTCAGCACAAAGTGAGTGAGCACTAAGAGACCATGTCAGGAGGCCTAAGATTCACCCTGGTCCAATCCATGAGTTGGGTGCATATCGCTAATGTGCAAAGTGTCCCAGTGTTGGCATTACAATGAAATGTGCTTGCGTGCTCCAAATTGCAGCCCTGAAGTGCAGAACTGCACTGCAGGTGTGCCATGAGTGTGCAATGAGACTAGCATATGTCTGATGACAATGACTGGGCAGCGCGGGGAAGGGGCGTGATAGTGAGTGGTGATGTTGTTTGTCCTTGGGTTGTGCTCTGAGATGCTAAGGACTGCTGTCCAGGATGGAAGGTAGGAGGAACAAGAGGTGAGCTGGAGTTGACTGTTAACCACTCTTTCAGGTCCAGGATTGTTGCTGTGTAGTTTCTACCCAATGTGTGGGACAATGGGGAATTGCATATCAATGAGCTGAGGTTAGATAATAATGGAATGCCAATGCACATAATGAAACATGCCTCTTGTGCCCATTAGCGAGATATGAGTTCTGCAGCTCAGAACTTAATTATTGAATCAGACATTTTACTCTCTGCATTGAGAATCTCATTTCAGTATTTATCACTTTATTTTTCCGATTGACTTACCAAGGACAATGTCATTCAGGGGCTGGGAAGATTCCAATCTTTGGTCTGCAATTTGCTCTCAGTAGTGTAAGAATGGCGTGGCTATTCAACTTGCTGACAATCGCCATTGACTATTCATGATCTGTCACTAAACTTTCCTCAGATATGGCAGCTTCTCCATTGTGGCACCAGGATATGTCATGAGGACAAACAACGGTAAGACTTTCGAAAACCAAATATTGCAGATGCTGGAAATCCAAAATAAGAAAACAAAAGCTGGAGAAACTCAGTTCAGGAAGCTTCTGTGGAGAGAAACTGTTATTGTTTCAGTTTGATGACTCTTTAGTCAGAATAACAATTCTTCAACTTATCAAATTTAAGAATCTTCACTGAGGCACACAGCGCAAATCAGGAAGTAAAAGGTGAAGTCTCCTTAGACATAGGGCTGCTATCTCATTAGAGCGACGCAACTGGTGGTGGTTTAACATTGTGTACATGCTGGTCAAAACAACCGCCTAGCTATTGTAGTCCCATTTTTCAGCACTTTGACCATAGCATTGTATACCTTGTCATTGCAAGTGCACATCTAAATACTTCTTGAATATTGCTAGGGCTTCTGCCTCTACCACCCTTACAGACAGAGAAAATGAGCAATTATTTGGCCAAAATTAAAATTTCACAACTGGTGATGAAAACTGTTCACCTAGCCATGAAAACGTTGAATATTTGATTATCTTTGTTCCCTCATAATGTATTTTATTTCAGTATTTTTAATATTTCACATTCTTCATCATAGAATTCACAAATAGCAAGAGAAACACTGCACACTTTCCAAATTACAGCACTTAACTTCTGCAATGACATAACAGAAGTGATAGTAATAACCACGACTATACTACAAATCCCAGGGTAGGGTAATCAATCAGATGCATTTAAAAACAATATTCACCTCCCATGTCTGTTCCTGGAAAGTAAAAATATGGTTTGTAATACTGGATGATGAAAATTTAACACATGATATTCAAACTAAAATAGTAGGCACACTTACTTAAAATAGGAATATCATATGAATATGCTATTGATTAACCTACATTGTGATCAATAGCGATTTTCATGTTCAAAGGTTTCAAGGATACATACATTTAAAATGCTCAGTATATTAATCAGCATTCAATAAAGGAATATAGGTGCTAATGTCTTGATGTGCCAATATATCAGAATCCAGTTTTTTTTTAAACTTTACTTTCACTGATTTCCCATTTTTCCCTCCCAAGATAATTTAAATATGGCTAATCAACAGAGGTCAATTCAGACAACTGTCTATGGGTCTGAGGCAGTCAAAGATGTGATAATAAATCAGTTGTGTTTTAGAAATTATAGCTTCAGGCAGGATTAATGCATGTTCCAAAATGTTTCAGTCCCCAAATAATAAGCAGAGAGGCTGAATTTTGCAGTTTCAGGTATATCTGATAGACTGCCTTAACATAGAGTTTGCAGTCTCTTAATGCCCCAATTCAGACCGTGTAAACATTTACTGCAATACCTGCAACTTTCATTTTTCCTTTGAATTCCTCAGTACCAGCATGTTGAGCTAAAATTGCTTCTGGAACCAAATATTTCGAAATAGGCAAGAATACCTCACAAATACTTCTGCCTTCATTGAGAAATTTCAGACACAAGCCTCCGCCTTGTAGTTTTAAAATAAAACAAAGAAGTGCAGATGCTGGAGATCTGAAACAAAAACAGAAATTACTGGAGAATCTCAGCAGGTCCGGCACCATCTGCGAGAAGGGAGCAGAGTTAACAAATCTGGTGACTTCACCAGAACTGTTAAAAGCTAGGAAAAACTAGCATTTGTGCTGAAGCTGAAGTGGAGGAGGGGAAGAGGTGAGCAGATTGGTGGAGATAGAGCCCAGAGAGATGTGAAAGGGGTAGGCAAACAAGGAGATAATGGATAAAAACCAAAAGAACTGTAGATGCTTAAAATTAGAAATTCAAAAAAACCCAGAAATTGCTGGAAAAGCTCAGCAGGTCTGGCAGCATCTGTGGACAGAAATTAGGGTTAATGTTTCGGCTCCTGTGACCACTCCTCAGAACTAGAGACAATGGATAACAGGCCAGGACCAAAAAAATGCTGTATAAGATATAATAACAGCTAAGAGTGAGAAAATGAGCTAGCTGTGCTGAATGCAACCTATATAAAGTGATAATGGGCCTAGGAGAATGTGAGAATGGATGACTGTGTTAAAAACAACCCACGTCATAACAGAACCGGGCGTGTGGTAGGCAAAAAAACATGGAAAGATGGAATCAGACTCTTAAGTTATTGAACTCAATGTTGAGTCCTAGAGGCTGCAGGGTCCCCATGTGGAAAATGAGATGTTGTTCCTCAAGCTTTCGCTGAGGCTTGCTGGATTAGTGCAGAAGAATTTCACAGTTCTTCGAAATAACAATTGCACTTGTAATCAACAAGGCATGGCAGCAAGCTGAACTTATGGATAAATATTTCATCAAAATTAATTTATAGGTTTGTTTAATTAAAGGCTGTGTTTGCTGTTAGAACATATTTTGGATGCATAATGTCTTCAAAAAAGTATAAAGACATGGGAAAATAACTATACTGTACACTTCACCAACTTTGGAAAAGTAGCTTGACAAGCAAAATGCAACGAAATCAAGCAATAAACACATATTGTATATTTTTAACGTAACAAAACATTCCAAAGCACCTCACAAGGATATTTTGAAACAACACTAAGTTTTAAAAATATGCTCAAATAAACTTCTTTAACAAAGCCTTACAGTTCATGTTTTAAGTGAGTTAGTCACAAAAATAACAGTTAAAATATTTCATGATAGTTGACAAAAACTGAAAGAACTGCTGATGCTGTAAATCAGGAATAAAAACAAAAGTTGCTGGAAAAGCTCAGCAGGTGTGGCAGCATCTGCGAAGAAAAAAAATCAGAGGTAACGTTTCTGGTCCGGTGACCCTTCGGGATGCCTTGTGTTTAACATTGTCTCTTTTTAACTTTGCTTTTAATATATGCCACACAAAATTTGTGTTTTCTTGATGTCCATGATCAAAGTATTTCTCTGTAAAGTTTGTGTGTTTTCTTACCCTCAAGGTGATTTGGTCCAATTAAAAATCAGCAGTGAGCTTTTGTGAATTTAAAATAAAGATGTTTATTCATTACCACATATCTACCCTGGAAGTTTAATTTCTCACAGTACCATATACAAAGATTAGATACAATTAAGAAAAAGACAAGTGATAGAATTATTTCAGTCACTTTTATCGTAGCCCTGAATTCATGTTTCAGCTGGAGTGGAGGTTTTGAAAAGCAGATGATTCTCAGTAAGCTGCAAGGCTTCTCATTGTTAAACTGCCAGGTCAACTGTCAGGTGAAATTGAACTTAAAATAGGTATGGGGGAGATGGGGTAATTCTTTCTCTCACTTTCAAGATTTAGCTTTTATCTAGGCTGTGTATTTTTTTTGCAGCTGGTTCAATGCTTTTCAGAGATTATCTTCCATGTGTTTGTGTCAGAATAGCTTCTGCTGTTATTTTTTAAAGCCAGTAACTGACATAGCTACCTTACATGTGTCCAGTTATAAATCCAAAGTCCTTTTCCAAGCAAAATAGTATATTTGGTCACTAAACATCATGTTGGGGGTTTTCACCATTTGAAATAGCCAAGGTGTTTGTACTTGGGATGAGGTCCATCAAAAATAAAACAAAAGGCTTATGAGATTCATTTCATATTTGTCCAACATTGCACAGTGGCTTAGTGGTTAGCACTGCTGTCTCACAGCAACAGGGACTCAGGTTCAATTCCACCCTTAGGTGACCGTATGGAGTTTGCACATTCTCGTCATGTCTGAGGGTTTTGTCTGGGTGCTCTGGTTTCCTCCCATAGTCCAAAGGTATGCAGGTTAGATGGACTGGCCATGCTAAATTGCCCATAGTGTCCAGGGATGTGTAGGCTAGCTAGATTAGCCATGGGAGATGAAGAATTACAGGGAGAGGGTGGGGTCTGGATGGGATGCTCTTTGGAGGGTGGGCGAAATTGCCTGCTTCCATACCGTTGTGATTCTGTGAACACTGAGTTTCAATATCTCTATTAGCAATGTTGAAATAGAAAGAAGAGTCAGCTGGTACATTAGTCTTCCTTGTTGATGGTCTGGGATTAACAAATGAATGTATTAATTTTATGAGTGACTGTGATTGGCCATACATAATTTGGTACTTGTTTCCTATTTTGCAGAGAATAAGCAGAATAATCACAGGCAGATAAAACCTACAAATGCAGAGAATTACACTTTATAAATTATTTGAGGTGTAAATGTAACATAAAGGCTGATTAGTAAAGTGCAAGAACTCTGGCCTCAGTGTCAGGATGATTTTACTTAGTTGAAAGTGAATCATGCAAAGAGCTAATCACCAAAACTTTAAGGTAATATCATTAATGTGTAAAATGTAGACAATGACACAATTACAAAACATATAAACTAAAAGTACAAATAAGGAAATAAATGTGCTGCTATGAACCGTATCTATTGTGAGATTCACTAAACCAGTCAAGATATTAGATTGCAGGAAAAACAGAAGTTGGTTCCTGCTTACAGCTTCAATAAGACAGAAATGTACAGTGGTTTTATCCAACTTTCCAAAAGAATGGCTTTTCAACGATGTCCTATTCTTTGTCTTTTGGGAAGAATCTGGTAAAATGTTCCATGAACTTGGTACATTAGCCATCCCTGAGATAACCTTGATAAATACTAAAACAAGATCAGCCAGTAAATAAATCATCAGAAAAAACAAACTCTGCCCAACTGTCCATAAAACAAAACTCAAGTTGGCCATTCGGCGGGATACTGGATCTGTGAGGGCCTCAGACACGTGCAGTAGCAGCCACAAGATCAAAAAGTTCATTACGAGGAAACCTTGAACTTTTATCCAGTCTTTTACCAACGTTCTCTTCTTCATTATGTAAATGCCAACCTGTACACCAGCCATGTAAATGGCTATGTATCCCAGCAATGAAAAGAGTCCTTCTCTGTTGGCATTAATGAATCCAAACCTTGTGCCTTTGCCATCATTTCCATGTAATATAAATTGCTTCAGATTTGTAATTTCAAGGAGCAACTGATAACAGACGGCAACGCTAGCTGACAAGATCCAGGAACTTCTCACAGGGCATAATATCAAAAGAAAAGATGACGAGACCCTAACTATTGCCAGTGTGAAAAAGAAGTTCCAATGTACACCATACTCAGTTACATGCTCATGATAGTCCACTGCTTTAACACTTATTAAACGAGCTAACCCTAAGAAAACCAAAGGCCAAACTGCTATGATCTGTTTAATCACAAAACTGAAATTGGAATATGATATATTTTTGTTCTTTTGTCTTGCTTCAGGAGATACAACAGCATTTGCAAAAACAAAAGCTGCCACTCCAAAATCCATAATCCCAGTTCCATACGTTTCAGCTTTGGCATAGCGTCTTGGAAATATTGGAAAGTCCACAGCTAGAATGCTGATGCCTGTCTTTATGTTAATGAAGACGCGAAATAAAGTGACAAAGGGAATGCAATTCACATCCAAGCTGGTTTCCAAAAAAGATCTTATGACTTCCTTTAACTGCTGACGAGAATGCTGTTTTCGTTGACTGTATATCTGAAACACAGATAATGCAAGTACAGCTACTAGAACCAGCACCAACCAGTGAAGCATATCTGCCAAAATTGTGCAGGACAGTACAAGAAATGCCACTAACACAATAAAATCAATCAGAAGTCTTTTCCATGATGATGTTGCACTTTCTCCAACAAAATACATTAATATCAGTCCTCGATACGTGACACATAATGCAGACAGAATTAAACCCAATAAATTCTCCGCTAGAGTAGTACCACTCAGGTTACTGATAAATTCTACTTTGAGTTCTTTTTCTGCCATATTAGGAATGATCGTTTTTCCTGAACAAGACACCTTAAAATATTCTGTATTTGGTAAGAGAATTACATTAGATTTAATAAACACACAGAAGTCATTGACCAGAAACGTTCAGTCTCTCTTCACAGATGTTGCCCGACCTGTTGAATATTTTCAGCATTTTGTTTTTCGCTTACAATTGGGATGAGTTGTTTCTGGTAAGTAAAATAAATCTTACGATATCAAACGTATTTTCAAGAGGAATCCAACAAGTGTAAGATGATCATTTTGAGGGCACTCTCGTGACCTAATTTCTCATGAAAAGAAGCATTTCTGAAGAAGGGTCTAGGCCCGAAACGTCAGCTTTCCTGCTCGGCCTGCTGTGTTCATCCAGCTCTGCACCTTGTTATCTCTATTCCTGAGGTTTGCTGGTTGTGCACTTGCGGTGTTTAGAAATGAGGTTGAGCACATCACCCACAACAAAGAAAGCATCGGACAGCCATTCAATGTCTTCTGTGACAACACAACTGAAAGCAAGTAGTCTCCTTGTCAGGAACATCGGATGTAATCCCCTGAGCCTCACAGTCTTACAATATCATCCCCACAAACCCGATGCATTAAGCACCCAACTGAGCGAGGGACAGGGCCACAAGGGGGGATCCATTACCCGAGTCGTTTCGTCCTTGTCACCACAACACTATCCAAACGTTAAATTCGTTCGGGTGAGGATTCATTAATTTGCTCACTCCCGTGCCCTTTCAACGGCCAAGCTCTTCGCAACAGGTTAAAACAGCACGGTGGACGAGGCGACGATTCAGGCTCAGGCCGAGGCCTGGGTCTGGGTCTGGGTCTGGGTCTGGGTCTGGGTCTGGGTCTGGGTCTGGGTCTGGGTCTGGGTCTGGGCGGCAGGGCTCCCTCCCACCCGCGGCTTCCCGGACACCAAGCTGCGCGGCGTCGCGTGGACGCGGGAGCAGGGACAGGGTGAAAGGTCACAGCGATTAGCAACGGCCGCCTGACCCCGCGAGTTGGGCGCGCTCTCGCCAATCCCCGCGAGATGGGCGTGCTCCCGCCAGATCCCGCCCTCCTGCCTGTTCGGGATGGGGAGCGGGAATGGCAGCTTTCGTGAGCAACGTTCGGCGAGATCCGAGGGAGGTTCATCGCGCGCGGGGAGCTGCCCCCTCGGCAGCGGGGAGTCAGGTAAGAAGGAGAGGCTCAGAAAGGCTCGAGATGAGGGGCTGCTGGTCTCTGTAACCGTTACCGTCAGCGCTTCACTGCCACTCGAACGGTCTAAGTGAGGCGGAGAGTTTGATTTATCCATACAAAGAGTGGTATCCATGTGTCTCACTGTACCGCACACTTTCACTACCGCTCTTCTTCGATTATGAAGCGAATTGCAGTGTTTTGTTCGAAAATTAAAAATCAGCAAGGCGATGAGGAGTATTTCAAACGATACTACGCGTCGGGGGAAAGGGGCGCTGCCGATCTTACTTGGGAATTTCAAATAACATACAATCTCAACCACTTTGATGATAGTCACCAAACGTCGATAGGATTTGGTTTTGCTGCGAAGAACCAAGGAGTGTTTGAAGTTGTGAAAGGCTCCGTATAAATGCACGTCTTCTTTTGATTTAACGTATGGTCACCAAACTCTAAAAGATGACTTCCTGATCGTGGAGGGAAAGAGCCTGGATGATTGTAGGTCGCTGTTTTCCTTTTGCTGCTTGGGACAAAACTAGCATCGTCTAAACATTTAAGTGGCAAGATTGCTGTGATAGTGCCGCCGTGAATTAAATACTTGCTTTTAATGCTAAGTCGTGAGAAGTCTAGACAAAAGAAGGAAATGAATCATCTATGGTTCATGACTATAATTCGCTTTTCCTGATGTCCAAAAATACGATTGTATTCGAATTTCCATTGTATTTCCAAACCGACTTTCTCTATCCCTTGTCTTATGAGTGTGTTTGACGGTCAAGAGGGCAGGATGAAGTTCGGCTGTGATGCAAACTACCGTTGAATAACTTGTCGAGGAATGGCAGTTTGTGGTTTATTGGCATGACTCGTTATAATGAAAATGCACTCCTGAAAAACTTGTTTATTTCTGGAAAGGAGGAAATTTGAAAATATTTTGATTTTAAAAGGAGCGAAAACTTGACTTTCAACCTTAACAATGGCCTGTCACTACGACCGTCGTGATAATAATAAAGCTGAATGCGTTTCATTAAAGACCATGTTGTGGCAAAGTTGTACAATATCCCAAAAGCAATCCCTTCTTTTACCCCCATCCCCCCCTTCCTTGAACATATCTTAGAATCGCACGAGTTTTTTTTATTGCGTTCTACTTTACTAGACTGGGTGCGATAACCACAGAGTTTAGGTGGTAAGTTTGAACTTGCATTGCTGGATTTTGAGTAGTTTTATACAGCCACTTGCAATGCTGATTGATTTCAAATTGACCAATCGCTTACAGTTGAAAGGACAGTTTTAAGTTTGGTTGAAAATTATGTACGCCTATTAAATTTGACCTTGCAATGGAAAAATAAATTACTGTAAAGGTTTTGTCAGAATATTTATGAGTGGAATTTTTCTGAGCATAATAGTTGAACCATTAAATTCCTGGTGTGTGCAGCAATAATATTGTTCCTAAGATCCTTTCTCTGAGACTGTAAGAATAGGCTTGTGTCCCTTACTGACTTGGACAGAGTCATCTTGTTGAGTCTGACTTTGTGTTAACAGTCAAGCCTTAACAGATTTTTGAGTTTAACTCCACCCTGTTGAAAAATGCCATGCTGGCATTAGGATTATAGACATTTTCAGTGGGCTGTGAGTGTTCTGTTACAAAACTAGCAAGCTAGAAATGACTCGGAGCCAAGATGCGTACTGTTAAGCCCCTGTCCTGGCTTGTGAGCAATGCTTCGGCAGCAATGTTCAGATTTCAATGATAGCAGTTTTCAAGCTGTAACTATTAGTTGTAACTTCTTACAATTTTTGTATTTGCTCTTTGAATATGAATTTAGACAATTGTAAAATATTCTTGATAAAACAAATTGCTTTTCAAAGTACACAGTTGTTGACAATTTAATGTTTATGGGTAGAGTACAACTGTAAGGATTGTGGTGATGAAGTGTTAGTGTCCCTACCTCTGAGCCAGGACACCTGGGTTCAAGTTCCACCTATTCCAGAGGTGTGTTGTAACATCTCTGAACAGATCGACTGATTAGAAAATTAGAGCTGTAAAGACTCTTGTGGTGCAGTGGTAGAGTTCCTACCTCTGAGCAAAGAGGCCCGAGTTCAAGTCACACCTGTTCCAGAGGTGTGTATTAACATCTCTGTACAGGTTAGTTAGGAAATATCGAGAATACAGCAGTTCACCAAGAGCAGAAACATAAGATGGAATTTTCCTGGCGTCCTCAGTGGTGTGGGCAATGGCGGGAACTTTGGTAAATTATAGTAAAAATGAAAAATCAATTCTTGACATTAAGCAAACAGTCTGATTTTTCCCTTAAGGTTAAAATGATGAGTTGTAAATTTTGCTATCATTGGTGACTGGACATTTCCATGCATTTATGTCTTATTATTAGCTACTCTCGCCTCACCTATGTGCAGTTTGTGCTTCTCCCGTGCACTGGGGAGCAACGAGACAATGCCAATTCCTAACTTGAAAGTCAGACCAATACCACTAAACTTTGCAATGTAAGGTGACCATGAGTTCCAGTGCTCCTTTCAGGTTGTTATTTGTGCAGAGACACGGATCTGTTTCATGCATCTGCATTAGGTATATTTTATGGATCTTCGATTTTTTTTTTTTTTTCTCTTAGCGTTGACTTATTTCCTCTTGCTTGGACAATCAGCATCTGTGGCTTGCTTTGCCTTTTAGCACATTGTGGTCCTCTATATTCTCACTGAAGCAGCAAGTTAATGGCTTGGCTTGCTTTTTAGCGTAAACAGAGGCACATAGCTTGTCATGGTAGCCAGAACTGAACAGTCAAGAAGATGAATATGTTGTTGTCTGACACTATGCTACATCATTGTCACACCTGTAGCATATGCGAGCAGCTTATCTGGCAGCCACACGGCATATGCTTCAACCAAATGGTTGGCTCTGAAAGCCAAAGAAGACTAACCGTTAGCAGTGTGAAGCTGTCAGTCTCAACTCTCAATCAAGGACATCGTCGAATCTCAGTTTGGGGTTTGGCTGTGGTGAGTCATGCATTTGGTGTGAGTCGGGTCTAGGGATCTGTGACCTTTCAGTCTGAGTTTCAGGCTGCAGTCAGTTCTGCAGGTCATCAAAACAGTCTGGACATCACAGATAAGTCATTTAGGGAGTTGAAGAGATATTGGTCTTGGCGCTGAGCCTTTATTTATCAGTTTGTGATGTGGGCCAAGTCGGAACTGGGGTTTTGGGCAGTAAGCAACAAGGAAGGTTATCGGGGGTAATGAATGCAGTGTACTGGAAAGTGGGAAACTCCAGTTTGGGACTGGGATGTGTTATACTCTGATGCTGAAGGGTTAATGACAGTGAAGGGATCAACACAAATGTACAAATGGATCTAATATAGCATAGGACAGTACTGAAAGCTGATTTCACAAGTTTCCACCACTCTGATTTTGCTGTGTGGACATTGAAATTAATATTGGACAAGACAATATATTAGGCCAAGGGCTGTGGGGAAAGTTGGGGATATTAACTGTTGAATATAAAAGGATTGGATGTGAACGTGAGGATTCTGAAATCTGACAGGAGTTGGCAGGAATAGCGACAAAATATGGTACGTGAAGTGGGGGAGAAGAGAAGAGAATCTTTACTGGGTGGAGCCTGTAGCTCGCTCTCAGGAACATGACCTGAATAGCATGCCATCTTTGACCACACCTCGACTCCACAATAAGAAAGAAGAATGGCTGGCCACAAATTTACAGTGGGTGGAATAAAATTTCGTTTTATTTTGGTCTATTGGGTGTGGTGTAAAAGTTTGCACTGAGTTCATGTTTGGAAGGTAATTGAGCAGTGGTCATTACCTGTGCTTGAAGGAGTGTGTTCTTTCGTTAAGCATGTAGGAATTAACCTTTGCCTCCAGAGAAATGTGCACTTATGGATGTAGTGGCACACACACGAGGTGCCCATAAATATGGAACATAACTGGAAGCAAGCCACTATTACAAGGCATTTGTTTAGCTTCTGTTCTCCTTGTTAAAATGCTAGGTCTTGGTTACATAATGGATGTGAGGATTGAAGGATACATAACGTCTACGGCTAAGTAGGATACACCTCCAAGTTGAGCAATGTTCCAGTCCTCCTTGGGATGCATGAAGAGGCTACTGAACTCCGGCATTGTGGTCACATAACTAGGTCTGACATCTAAAATGGTAGTCGGTGAGATGTCATAATTGAAAGCGCATATATGTTTTCAGAATTGTAGGCATTTTTCCAATAATGTGTCACTGTGCTATTCTGTGCCCTTGGAGAGACTTTTTTCCTTGTTCTCTCACTATGTCTCAGTGCAGTCCTGGTGTCTGCAGCTGGGATGGAAAGAACTTTCTCTTTAGTGGACTTTATTGGCTTGTTGGATTTGGGTAGATGATCCTAGGGGTGTTTGCAGCTAGAGGGCTCAGACATGCTGAGAGTGACCTGTCCAAATGTAGGCTCATCCTTGTTGGCTGCAACTTCTGCAGGGTTGGGGATTGCATGGAGATCAACGAGCCTGAGATCTTTCGAGTGTACTGAGAGGTAACCTCTGGGGAGTCCTCTGTAGTTTCTCTGTCTGTGTGTCTGCTGGTACCACTACCTCTCCTTGAGAGGAAGGAGCATCATATGTGGGGTCAAGATCACTTGGCTTCCTCTTCCCATGCCTAATGCTGAGCGCCAGTGGCTAAAGTGATGACATGCAGATGTGCATGCTTTTCCTGCAGCCACTGAGTGTCCTGTTAGAGCTGGCTTTCCAAGACACTGTCAGCGTGTCCATGAAGACAGCAAGATATGTGCATGCCAGCATTGTGATAACATCAGTGGACTTCTCCAAACTTCACTTCACTATCTGTGTGTCTCTGAACAAACTTGTCTGCTTTTCCTGTGATTGTACAAAGTAATTAACGGCTAACACTATAGGGTCATTTTTTGACTGTACTCAAGTCGTGCCTGGTCTCCCGCAGTCTGCAGTCCACTGACCGTCAGTGAAGGTGTCAGCTGTGGAGACCTTCTGGCG